TAATAAAATTCACTTTTTTATTGTATAATTCTATAAGTTTTGTCAATGGGTGCAGTTATATGACTACCACCATACAATGTTTAAATTGTTTCCAGTTTTTGTCTACCAGTTTCAGTGTAAACGGAAGTTTCCATTTATCTTGGGTAAATATCTAGGAATAGGATTGCTAGGTTCCAAGACAAGTTTATGTTTAACCTTTTAAGAAACTGCCAAACTGTTTTCAAAGTCCTTGAACCATTTGAAGCCCCATTGGCAATATACAGTAGGAGAGATCCAATTGTTGCACGTTTTGACTAGCCTGAATCAGTTTTTATTTTTTTTTAATATTTATTTTTTAGTTGTAGTTGGACACAACACCCTTGTTTTATTTTTTATTTACTTTTATGTGGTACTGAGGATCGAACCCAGGGCCTCGCACATGCTAGACAAACGCTCTACCACTGAGCCACAACCCCAGCCCCCAGTTTTTACTTTTGTTTTAATTTTATTTTAATCATTCCAATAAATGCATAGTGGTAGCTCATTGTAGTTTTGATTTGCATTTCCATGTGGCTAAGGATTCTTAGATCTTTCATATATTTATTTATATGTACACCATTATCTTTGGTAAAGTGCTCAAATCTTTTAACAGGTTTTTATTGGGTAGGATTTTTTTTGTTGAGTTTTTAAAATCCTTTGTATATTCTAGATACCAAGTCCTTTGTCAAATAAAATTTATTTTACAAAAAATTTCTCATCTCTGGCCTGACTTCATTCTCCTGTTGATGTCTTTGGCAGAGCAAGCATTTATTTTGAAGTTCAAATTATTGGTTTGTTCTTTCATACTTATGTGTTGTATCTTCAAACTCTGCCTAACTTAAGATTGCAATGATTTACTCCTTCATTTTCTTGTAAGTTTTATAGCTTCATATTTTATACTTAGGTCTATTATTCTTTTGGAGTTAAATTTTGTGTGTGATGTGAGGTGTAGATCAAGGTTCACTTTGTTGTCTGTAAGTATCTAATTATTCAACTACATTTGTTAAAAAGACTGTCTTTTTCTCTTTTGTCAAAAATTTGTTGACTATACTTATGTGGGTCTATGTCTGAACTCTATTCTTTTCTGATCTATGTTAGGGGTCAACAGCAAATTTTTTCTGCAAAGGACCAGATAGTAAATATTTTAGATTTTGTAGGCCAAAAGGCACAGTGAAAGATATTATCTAGGTACTTGTGTAACAAGAGAATACAAATTTCTACCAATTCTCTATGAAATTAAAAAATACAATGAAGTATTCTAATCTAATAAGAAGAATGGGATTCTTTTCAGTGAAATAAATAACATTTTGCTTAAGTAGGGTTCAAAGTTAGGGTTTCCTCTTGTCCAAATTGATTTCAAAATATTCATCTATTGGTGCATATCTGTAGTGAAATATTTCATATTTTAGCTTTGAAAAATGTCTTTTTCCATAAGTTGTACAGGTACCAGTGGAAACCCTGCAGTTTGTGGAGTAGCAACAGCACTGCAAATCAGTCACTGTTCAATTCTCCATTGTAGCACAACGGCCAGAGACAATAGGTAAACACAAAAGTGTAATTATGTTCTAATAGAGGTTTATTTGTGAGCACTGAAATTTGAATTTCATATAATTTCCACTGGTCATAAAATATTATTCTTTTGATTTTTTTCTAAACTATTTAAAAATACCGAAGCCTTCTTAGCATAGGGCACAAAAACCAGGGCAAACTAGTTTTGGCCTATGGGCTATAATTACCCCCTCATCCCTCCCTATTCCCCACCCAAATTTCTATCCTTCCACTAATACCACACTGTCAGGATTACTATAATTTTATCTAAAGACTTAAAATCAAATAGTGTGAGTTTACCAACTTGTTCTTTTTCTAAATTGTTTTAACTATTCTTGTTCTTTTACCTTTCTTTCCATATAAATTTAGCTTATTGTCTTCTACCAGAAATGTTGCTCTGATTTTGATTGGACTTATGTTGCCTCTGAAAACCAATCTGAGGAGAATTGACATCTTAACACTATCTAAAGAACTTAGTAAATCTCTCCATTTAGGTCCACTTTGATTCTTTTATCAGGGTTTTGTAGTTTTTCCCATATGGGTTTTAGATTTTACACATATTTGTTAGATTTATACCCAAGGATTTCATGGTTTTGGTCAGAGGTGTCTTTTAGTTATTGATTTCTCACTGCTCTTAGGATAAATTCTTTAATCTTAAAAGGCTAAAAACTTTTAAAGATTAAAACCTCTTGGCCCCTTCTCTATTTTTTTAGCCAAACTTTTTGCTACTCCCCCTCATTCACAATGTTCAGGTCTCGGATTAGGAGGAAATGATTTTGTGTTTGTTTATTTAATTTACTAAGGGGTATAATTTTTAGAATATCTAAAAGAGTAAATAAATGTGTTCGAATAAAAAAATTGAAGAATGTATTTTCATCTTACTGGGTCATTGGGCTTTCTGTGTGGACTTCTTTTGCCCCTTAAGTCTATAATTCTACTAAGACAGAATGCTTTATAATTATTGATTATAAGGGACTTTGCTTTGTAATATTAGCTTTAAAAAGCATATTTTCATTCCTTAGAAACATACTGAAACTTGGCACACACACAAAAAAAACAAACAACAACAACAAAAAAAAACTGGCTTTCTGACCAAACTAAGGATCCTGTCACTGTCATTATACACAGATGAAGTTAAACTTTCTGTTTATTAAAATAGTTTTTATAAGCCTATTACCAACTTTATTATAATAGTCAAAGTAGAAACACAGAATAGTAGTGGTATTCTGTGAAAAGGTCTACAGCTATTTTAGTCAGTTTTTTCAGCGATCTGACAAGAATAATTTAGAGAAGGAAAATTTTATTTGGGGCTCACAGTTTAGAGGTCTCGTCCATAGATGGCCGACTCCATTCCGTGGCGCCTGAGATGGAAGCAGAACAACATGGCAGAATTGTGTGGTGGAAGAAAGCAGCTCAGGACATGGCCACCAGGAAATAGTGTTTACTCACCAAGAACAAAATATATACCCCAAAGGCATGCCACCAGTGACACACCTCCTCCAGCCACAACCTACCTGCCTACAGTTACCACCCAGTTAATCCATTCAAGTGTATTAATGCACTGAATAGGTTAAAACTTTCATAACTCAAACATTTCACCTCTAAACTTTTTTGCATTGTCTCACACATGAGTTTTTGGGACACACTTTATCTAATCCGTAACAGCAGCTATGAGCCTAAAACAAAAGAGAGCCACAAGATTCATTGTTCTAAACCTAAAAAACAGTACATTTAATTACCAGTGTTTATTCATTATGCTAGACCTACAGAGCTCAAAAACTAATGGGGAAACAACTAAAAATGAAAGCACTTGTTCACAAAGGCATATCTAAAAGACTTTAATAATCCAAAGAGAAATGAGTAGCCCAGGTGAAATTGAGAATATAAGATGATAAGTTGATTTTCAAGACACAGGTAGAAGGGAGGCAGGGACCACATCTTAAAAGGTAAGGGGCTTGCATCGTATCCTGTAACTCAGAGGTTCTAACACTTCACTGCACTTAAAATTACCTGGAGGAACTTGTTAAAATTTCAGAATCCTGGATTTTTCCCCCAAAGATTGACTGAGTAGATCTACCATGATTGCCTAAGTGAGCTAGCACCACCCAGGATGCACACTGACATTTAAGAGCCAATGCATTTGGTAAAATTGGTTCACAGAATAGTTTTTAAGCTGGTTAATATGATGATTGTAGTAGCATTTTAGAAAGTTAGATAAGATTGGTTCACAGAATAGTTTTTAAATTGGTTAATATGATGATTATAGTAGGATTTTAGAAAGTTAAATCTGATAGTAGTGTAAAATGGAATCATCTGAGATTAAAATGCAAATTCTGATTCATTAGGTCTGGAGTTGGGTCTAAGGTAACTGAATTTCTAACAAATTCCCAGGTGAGGCTGGTATTGCTTACCTGTAGCAAAGGAAACAGAGGCTATATTAGAGTGGGTGAGACTACACATCATGGAGATTAGTTAATAGCCTATCACATTTATCCAGGCAAAAGAGACTGAGTATCTGAACTACTAGTAGTATGCGATAATGGCAAGAATGGGTTGCAATGAAATGTAATAAAATAAAAATTACAAGATAAAATTGATACAACTAACTTAGGGAGTTTAGTAAGGATTGGAGTTAGTAGGAGGAGGAGAGATGTCAAAGATGATCAGAAGGTTGACATTTAGCTGTCTAGGTGGATGGTGATGACATTAGCTGTAATATAAGATAAAGAAAAGGTGAAAGGTGGCTTGGGATGTGGAGGAGGACTGGGTAGAGGAGAGAAGTTACTTGGAGTTGAGAAATGAGGTAGCCAGAGGAGGATTCATTTTGAATGCTTTGAATTCAAAGAGTGTGAAATAACTAAAATTTCAAGGGGTGTTGGAAGAAGAGGAACTCATAAATAACTAATAAATATTAGAGAGATTGGTTGATAACAGAATGAGCAGTATCAAAGTCATTTCCAGGTGGTTGCAGATGTAGCTATTTGGTAGACCACTTGGCCTAGCAAATTCAAGGCCACGGGTTGGATCTCTAGCAATGCAAATACACACACACAAATACGCACAATTTCCAAGAGAGGAAGGTCATATCATTGCCACAGAGATAGCAAGCCAAAAAGAGTGCATAGTTCTAATTAAGAGGCTCACTTTCTAAGTTGCTGATTGGCTAAAGGGATATTATGAAGCCTCCAAATTAGCTCATCTCTTAATCCTTTAATTTAAGGAAAAGTTTAAGAAGGAGCCAGTTTTTTCAAGTCATTCATAACGTTAAGCCTTATAGTACCTTTTTCATTCAGATTATTTTTTCCTTTTCCCCCCACAGATTGATCATACTTAGAAGAGCTGCTGTAATAACATAGGGGAGGTGAAAACTAACAGATGAAAGTTTTGCCATGCACTGAAAGAAAAGCATTGTCTGTGAAGTTCTATTTTTAAAAATGTCTGCTTGTAACACCTTCACTGAACATGTTTGGAAGCCTGGTGAATGCAAGAATTGCTTTAAACCTAAAAGCTTACACCAACTCCCTCCAGACTCTGAGAAGGCATCCACCACCCATGGCAATGTGAAAACTAATGCCAATCACAGTAATAACCACCGCGTCAGGAACACCGGAAATTTCCGGCCTCCTGTGGCTAAAAAACCCACTATAGCTGTGAAGCCCACTATGATGGTGGCAGATGGGCAGAGTGTATGTGCTGAGCTTAGCATCCAAGAACACTGTGAGAACAAACCTGTCATTGTAGGGTGGAACCGAAACAGGACTGCCTTGAGTCAGAAACCACTTAACAATAATAATGAAGATGAGATTGAAGGATTTAGCCATGTTCCTAAGCCTTATGGCAACAATGATAGTGCAAAGAAGATATCAAATAACAATAATGGGCTAACTGAAGTGTTAAAAGAGATAGCAGGTTTGGACACCAACCCTCAGATAAGAGGAAATGAAACAAACTCCAGAGAAACATTCTTAGGAAGAATAAATGATTGCTACAAACGATCATTGGAAAGAAAGCTTCCTCCAAGTTGCATGATTGGTGGCATCAAGGATACTCAGGGCAAACATGTTAGTTTGAGTGGGAGCACAGAAGTAATCAGTAATGAAGGGGGACGGTTCTGCTACCCAGAGTTCTCTAGTGGTGAGGAGAGTGAGGAAGATGTACTTTTCAGTAACTTGGAAGAAGAACATGAGAGCTGGGATGAAAGCGATGAAGAGCTACTGGCCATGGAGATTCGCATGAGGGGTCAACCTCGCTTTGCTAACTTTAGAGCAAATACTTTGTCTCCTGTTCGATTCTTTGTGGACAAAAAATGGAATACCATCCCCCTACGAAATAAGTCACTCCAGAGAATCTGTGCTGTAGACTATGATGACAGCTATGATGAAATCCTGAACGGTTATGAGGACAATTCTGTGGTTTCCTATGGACAAGGAAGCATTCAGAGCATGGTGTCATCTGACTCCACATCACCAGATTCTTCTTTAACAGAAGAATCACATTCTGAGACAGCCAGTAGTTTATCCCAGAAGATTTGTAATGGGGGGATATCTCCTAATAACCCAGGAGAGTCTAAGGACATGAAGGAAATTGAACCCAATAATGAAAGCCTTCCTGGTAATAATCTGGAGAAGGAATCATTACAGGCTTCCAAAAGCTCAGTTAAAGTTCCAGAGACACACAAAGCAGTCCTTGCTCTCCGATTAGAAGAGAAGGATGGCAAGATTGCTGTGCAAACTGAGAAGCAAGAAAGTAAAACCTCTACAGATATTGCTGGACAAGCAGTAACCATAAACCTCGTCCCTGTAGAGGAGCAAGCAAAGCCCTACCGAGTTGTAAATCTGGAACAGCCATTGTGCAAGCCATATACTGTCGTGGATGTGTCAGCAGCCATGGCCAGTGAGCACCTTGAGGGCCCTGTTAATATCCCCAAGACAAAAATCTCATCTTCTACTCCAAACTCCCCAGTATCTTCACCTGCATTGACACCAGGACAGATAAATACCCATTTCCAAAAATCCAGTGCAATCCGATACCAGGAAGTGTGGACTTCCAGCACCAGTCCACGACAAAAGATCCCTAAAGTGGAATTAATTACTGGTGGAACTGGACCAAATATCCTGCCAAGGAAAAATTGTCACAAATCCGCACCTACTTCACCCACAGCTACAAACATTTCCTCTAAAACCATCCCTGTTAAGTCACCTAATTTGTCTGAAATAAAATTTAATAGTTACAACAATGCTGGTATGCCACCTTTTCCAATTATCATTCATGATGAGCCAACGTATGCTCGGAGTTCCAAAAATGCTATTAAAGTTCCCATTGTTATTAATCCAAATGCATATGACAATCTAGCCATCTACAAAAGTTTTTTGGGAACAAGTGGAGAACTCTCAGTGAAGGAAAAAACCACAAGTGTAATAAGCCATACTTATGAAGAAATAGAAAGTGAAAACAAAGTGTCTGATGCCACTAGCAAACCCACTGAATGTCCCCAAGCCAAAGGGTTTTCAAACAGCACAGAGCGTAAAAGGGGCTCCGTGGCTCAGAAGGTTCAGGAGTTTAACAACTGTCTCAACAGAGGTCAGTCTTCCCCACAGAGAAGTTATAGTTCCAGTCACAGCTCCCCAGCAAAAATCCAGAGAACCACTCAAGAGCCTGTGGCCAAAACAGAAGGCACACAGGAGCCTCAGCTGGTGGACAGCAGTGGCAGCAGCAGGGAGAAAGCAAGCATAGTGCTTTCTCAGATTGTGGCTGCTATCCAGCCCCCCCAGTCTCCTCCAGAAACACCTCAGTCTGGCCCTAAGGCCTGCAGTGTGGAAGAGCTTTACGCCATTCCTCCAGATGCTGATGCTGTGAAGAGTCCACCTAAGGGTACACCAGTCCGACCCAAGTCACTCTTCACATCTCAACTTAGTGGTGAGGCTGAAGCACCTTCGACCGCAGAAAGTCCTACCAATAAAGTACAGAAAGACCCATTCTCAAAGCCAGTTGCCTCCCCTCCTTCCAAATTAGTGAGCAACCCCCAAAGTGAGCCACCACCTCCCTTTCCCCCGCCTCGCTCTACTTCTTCCCCTTACCATGCAAGTAACCTTTTACAGAGACATTTTACCAACTGGGCCAAACCAACCAGCCCTACCAGATCAACGGAAGCTGAATCAGTTTTGCACTCTGAAGGTAGCAGGCGGGCAGCTGATGCAAAGCCTAAACGCTGGATCTCATTTAAAAGCTTCTTCCGCCGTAGGAAAACAGATGAGGAAGATGACAAAGAGAAAGAACGAGAGAAAGGGAAACTGGTGGGCCTGGATGGCACAGTTATCCACATGCTGCCTCCTCCTCCAGTTCAGCGCCATCACTGGTTCACAGAGGCAAAAGGAGAGTCCAGTGAGAAGCCAGCCATTGTCTTCATGTATAGATGTGACCCTGCCCAGGACCAGCTCAATGTGGATCAGAGTAAGGCCAGGGCTGACCAGGCAGCAATCACCGAAAAGGGTAGAACAGAGGATGCATTACTGCGGGACTCAGAAAAGAAGAAGAGTAGTCATTCTTCTCCGTCACAGATTCCTGAGAAAGTTCACAGGTATGTAAAATAGACTGGCAGAATATGGGAAATTTTTAACACATTTTCACGTGTTAAGTTTTTTATCTTTTAAGACTGCATAAGAGCCATTCCTGTTTGTAAGTAGCACTCTGAGGCCATCATGCATCTTTATAACTGCATTCCAAGATTAGAATATTATTGAAGTGATCTTATTGCACTGAATAAGGTTTATGGCCCTGGATCTCTAGCTAAAATAGCCTGCTGCATTCTAGTGAATACAGAGGGACTTTAACAGAAAAGAACAAATCCACAGCACCATAACAGAAATAAAGAATACATCGTTCTGAATTGCTGTGATGGTGTGAGGAAGAAACAGAGTCAAATGAATGCTCTTTCCCTCACTGTAAATGGAATAAAACTGCATATGCAGTTCAGTTTGGCTTTCACCAAGGCATTATCTCTATACATATTACTTTATTTTAAGGGAATCTTTGGGTTTTTTATTGCTGCCTCTTTCTGTCCTCCTTTCAAGTGTTTTGGAAAAATGGGGAGCAGGGACGAGCAGTTTATAGATATTTAACTTGGAGGAGAAACATGAGTAGGTTATCGAGGTTGAGATCCTTATGGTATGATCCTCAATTCAGCTAGGCAGATTGTATGCTCATGAGATCTCTAGGCACTAATTTATTTTATTACCTTAATAATTTGTCATTGATCTCCTACTCTATGTGTGACATGTCCCAAATATTTTTCTCAAATCCTTATAAAATTCCATAAGGATTCTATAAGAACCCTGTAACTGGTTCTTCATATAAGGAAACTAAAGATCAGAGAAGTTAAGAACTGGCCAGAGTTGCAAAGCTAGTACTTGTCAGAGCTGAAATTCAAACCCTGATCTATGTCACTCTCAAGATTATATCCTTTCTAAAGCGTTGCATTATTAATGAACACAAGATCAAATAAAGGGCTGAGGATATAGATCAGTGGTAGAGTGATCGCCTAACTTTCATGAAGTCCTGGGTTCCATTGTCGGCACACCACCACCACCACACACATGCTCAAAACCAAACAAAATTTTCCTGTTTGGGCTTGTGATCATTCACATAAACATTTATATTCAGGAGGTTTTTCTTTCTCATTTGTATTAGAAACAAAATTAATTAACTGCCAATAAAAGGGAGGTTTATTCCAGGTTTTTGACAAATAGGGATATGCCCTGAGTATTTCATTCTTCTGAGTCCTTCTCCCTACTTACATAGAGACAGATAGTAAACCTTCTCTACCTGACCCGACCTTCTCTCTCTGGCAAAGACATGAACCTCTGATTATTGGGGCAAATTCTCTTACCAGTTTTTCTTTAGAAAAGCATAAATAAAAATGAAGTGAACAGTTAATGCCTTTACTTTTCCTAACAAAATGCTCGGGTGTTTATATGTATTCTTCATTAAAATTAGCCTTTTACATACCTTCAAATAGTTATCAAAATGGTAGCAAGTCTCTGTTTTCCTTAAATCCATGTAATAACAAAGTAACTAGAATAGTGGTAGTATATTCCTGAAAAGAATAATTTTGTCATCAGTAGTGAAAAATCATATTCAATTTTTACATACTTAGTGATAGAATGTTTTAAGCCAGTAGCAATAAAATTCATGTATTGCAGATTACTGTTTTGTTTAGAAAAGAAGCAATTTAAAAGCAGTTGGTTAGAGTTACCTAGGAGGGAATGGTAGATAGGTCTTGCAGATCAATAAACAGCTTTACTCCTAATTAAGTACTGCTGTGGTGGATGTGTTCACACCTTGGGAGGCAGAGCCAAGGAATGATAGAACATTGGCCTCTCTTGTGAGGATGTGATCTCTCCTTGGTCTGCATTCCACTATATGTGGGCTTGAAGGCAGCCCAGACTCTGGGCATGGCAGACCCTTTACTATACAGCTTATGTTTTCACTGATTGTGTTATATACTGACCAGTCATGTCTTCCAAAATTTATCAGCTCTTTATAGTTCACATAATGGATCCAAATGGCACAATTGAGTTGCCTCTTGATGCTCAAATTTGACCATGTTCCATAATTATCCAGAGGGCTGTTGAAACACAGATTGCTGAGCCCCACCCCCAGAGTTTCTGAGGCAGAGGTCTAGAGTGAGTCCTGATACTTTGTACTTCCTACAGGTTCCTGGGTAAGGCTGATGCTGCTTTCCTTGGGCCATATTTTATTACCACTGGTCTCACCACCATTCTAAAGATAACATTGCTGTAGTCTTAAGTGAAGCCATGATTGAAATATTAAGCTGTTCTTAGGGGCACACTGAAAATTTCTCATTTCATAATGTCCAGAGTAAGAAGAAAAAGAAGTATTCAATAAGCTATTTTTAACATTATGAAAAGCTTAATACATGATATGCATATTGAAAAATATACATCATTTGATTTTTAAATAATTACCTCATTTGCTTGGATATGGCATTGGTATTTACTTGAAGCAACTTTGAGAGAAAAAACATTACAATCAAATGTCAACATTTGTGTTTCTGGATTGATGGCAGTGTGATCATTAAATTACCATCCCACGGCTGGGAACACACTGCTGAAAGAAATGAAAATATGGTTTTTCTATAAGTAAATGAAGATTCCAAATCTAAACTGTCATAAGGAATGAAGAATGAAAAACTACTGTGCTAAAGGCCAGACCCCAGCCTTTGAAAGATGAAAAACTTTATAGAGCCTTTTATTATAGAATTAGATTATTTCTAATTTCATTTATTAGACTGTTCAGAAAATATAAATTGAGTATGTGCCTGGAACAAATAGGGGAAAGGACACTGCTGAAATAATGGATTTGGGTTTGACTTTAGCCTCAACTATCTATCTGGTCCTTCACTAAACAGGGTTATAATAATGATATCTATCACATAGAATTAATTTGAAGATTTCATGAGAACACATACAATAGGCTTAACACAAGGTCTGGCACATATTGGATGCTTTAAGAGTAGCAGCTCCTCTGCCCTCTGTGCAAGAAATGTTAAATGTACAGAGTGGTATAATATAAAGGGATTAAATCAGCTTAGAACAGACTTCTTAGAAATGAATTTGAAATAGGATTTTGCCAGCTGGTTGGGAAAGATATTACAGGCACAAGGAACAGTATATGCAAAGTCACAGCAATGAGAACGCAAACAGAAACAGAACATGTGACTAGAAAAGCATAATGGATAATCTAGAAGATCAAAAACAAGCTAAACTCATGGAAGGTGAGCCAGTGTGGGGTTGGGGAACGGTGGAAAAGGAGGAGGGTACAAGGTTTCAGTGATATATTGCACAACTTGGTAACCATAGTTAATGTAATATATACTTCAAAATTGCTGAAAGAATTTATTTTGAACCTTTTCACCACAAAAGAATAAGATGATGAGGGGATGGATATACTAATCAGTTTTGCTTAATCTTTCTACAGTGCAAATATATATATAACATTGCAATCTATAAGTATATATAATCATTATTTATCAAAAAAACATTTAAAAAATAGTCCAGTGGTTCTTAAAGTATTGTCCATGTAAGGTCAAACAATGACCATACAAAATTCTCTATTTCATAATAATACTGCCAAAGTTGGGGTCTTGAATGTCACTGAAAGGCCCTTTTTGTTAAAGGCTGTGTTATCAGCCTGTTGTCCTGTTGGGAGATGGTGGAAACTTCAGGAGGTGGGGCCTAGTAGAAGGAAGTTAGGTCACTGACGGTGTGTCCTTGGAGGGAATATTGGGACCCAGCACCCTCCTCTCTCTCTCTCTCATTGCTTCCTGGCCACCAAGGTAGAAGTTTCCTTTGCTACCTACTACCTGCCATAATGTACTCCCTCACTACAGGCCCAAAGGCAGTTGTGCCAAGTGACCATGGACTGAAAATTTCTGACCAAAAGAAACCTTTCCTCCTTGTAAGTTGATCATCTCAGGTATTTTGTCACAGTGACAAAAAGCTAATTAACCCAAATATTAAGACCTTTGTCTTTTTCATTGTGTTGACCTTTGCACTGATAGTGCAAAAACAGTTGTAGGTAAAATGACTTATACCTTAGCATAAATCAAAGCCATCACGTGATACTGTATTAGGAGTTGAAGGGGAAAAAAGAGTTTCGTTTAAGAATGCCCTTGATGAAGTAGTAAATTTTATTAAATCTCAACCTTTGAGTATCTTTTTAAAATTCTTCATGATTAAACAGGAAGTAGATATAGAGTACTTCAGCTGCATACACACAAAAATCACTTGTGAAATAGTTGCAATTGCAAAGGTTGAGTTAGGAAGCTTAACTAGCACTCTCTTTCATAGACCACCTTGGAGGAACAACTAGCAGATCAACTCATTATTCAAATGAGTCCTGGCAGATATTTTCTTAAAAGTGAACATAGTGAGCCTATTACTTTCCAGGAAAACAACTGACTATATTTGTTGTCAATAATAAAATTCAAACTTTCAAACAAAAATGAAAACTTTTTAAAACTTATATTTGACACTGTGACCATGACAGCTTCCTAATACTTAAGTATTTTTCCCATGAAATTTTTGGTGGAATTAGCAAGAGGTTTTTAAAATATTATTTAATGTCATGTGTCCACATTTGGAGGATATGCATAACTCAGTAAACTATAATTTCCAAATGACTCCCTACATAATAATACAAAATTATACATGAGTAAGGATTCATTCAGACTGCAAAGCGAGGCCAGTGGATTTTAATGTAACTAAATACAAAAAGTTCATTGATATGGTTTCAGATCTACATGGCAGCTAACCTTTAAGAAATTACCACTCATCAAGCTCAGGTGCAGTAGCAAAGAATATCCACAATTATCTAAAAGGCTATTAAAAATACTCCTTGTTTCCCACCTATAAATCTGGATGAGAACAGATTTTTTTTGCATATTCTTTAATTGAAGCAGTATATCATCGCAGATTAAATGCAGAAGCAAATATGAGGATTTGGCTTTCTTCTATTAAGTCACAGATGTTAAAGAGATCTGAAAATGTTTTAAAGGGT